CTCTAAACAGCCTCTTGGTAGGTCTCTTGGTAAGGTCTTGGTCAGTGCAGAGCTGAGCAGGTGGGAGTCACGGATGCTCTTGTACCTTGGAAGGGACTTTGCTTGTTTGTGGCAAAAGAACAGCTAAAATCCAGTTTGGAGGACATGCTGCAATCATCCCATAAAGCTAGCAAGATCTTTTTCAATAAGTGGGGAAAAAGTCTTTAGATCAAGATACCTGATGTATGATGGTACAACTCAGCCTGGGAGGTAAAAGGCTTAATGAAATGGAGGCCAAAAGAGCCTCAAGGAAGAAAGCTCAGGGAGAATCAATTAGCACTTTCCAGTCATCAAAACCGAACATGTACAACCATAGCTGTTCATCACAGTTGAATCTATTCTCACACAAGCAAATACATGGGTGGTGAAAGTAAATAGCTGCATTACCTTAAGTGCCTCGTAATCATCCTTAATTATGAAGATCAGCCATTATTACTATTATTATTACTATTAGACCTGTTAGACATAACACTGGCTTCAGAAGGATTTGAATTAGGCCTTAAAGTATCCCAAACTAATATGGCACTGGCTCATAATTTCCATCTCTATTTTCTGATGCTTTCTTTAGTTCTGCTTTACCGTAGTAAAAATATAGTTATTCTAGTGGAAGGAATTTAATCTCTCTATTTCAAACTCTGCTTTTGCTCAATCACTAACAAAATTTTATTGTGTCTTGTTTGTTTTTTCATTTCCATAGTGTTTGCAACAGTCTGCATAGAAGACCCTGACAGATTTAAACAGTTTCTATAAGAGCAAAGATCTCTCCCTAACATCATTATGCTAATGCTTTGTAAGCATAGCACCTATGGGAATTTCATGTTGTCAGGGTTTTTTCTAAAAGGCATGTGTTATGCCAGTGTATAATATACACTGTCTCTGCTGCAACATTAAACCAAGGGAGAGAACAAAATTTAATCCAACTTGCAGAGCAATTATTCAAAACTAAATTGTGCAGTTACTTTCAGTAGAGATAAGAGCAAACCAAAACTCTGGTGCAAACCAAATTCCTGACATTTTATTTCACTCACTACCTTTCCTTTTCATCACTATGTATGCCTGATCAGAGCAAATCTGGTCAGGTTGTCCCTTTACCTCTACAGAATCTGCTTTCTTTGTTATGACAGACTTTGCCAAGAGGCATTAAATGACTTTCTATTATGGACCAGGAACATCTTAATTACATGTCCTAGGTCCAATTTTCCTTATATAGAACTGCCCACACTCCCAGTCTTCCTGAAGGCAATCCAGGTTACAAGTCCACTACTCCTTCAGAAGGAATTCCAGGAGTTAAAACTCAGGCTCTAATTTACTATGCAAAATCTGTGATTACAATGCAAGTTGCTGGCTTCCTGAGAGCACAGTCCAGCTCTTTCATAATGGGGATTCTATGTCATAGAGTATTTTACTGGGAATGTAAGCACTTTAATAAGAAAAGGATTGATTTTGCAACCGGCACAAGATTCTAATGATTGAAAATAATGTATTGATTTTTTTTTTTAAATTAAAGCCGTCTTTCTATTCATAATGGAAGGTCCTGCCCTTCTTGAGATTTATCACCATAGGCCTTGGGTGAAGCTTGCAATTTTGCTCTTACACAGTCAACATAAGGGAAGGAATAGACTATTAAGATGGATGGCTTTTTTATTTTATTTATTTAAACCAGGTTAATGTTGGCTTTTTATGTAGACAGAGAAGCGTGGGCAAGAAAGTCTTGGGAATTAGGTGGGAATATATACACCAAAAGAAGTAAAAGCCTGAACTCTCTCTCTGAGTATTCTGTACTCTGGGTACAGCAGGACTTGAAAGTAGTCCTTCAGGTCCTTCAGGATTGAGACTTCATGCTTCCACCTCCCTGCCCACAGCTGTGAATGTCTGCTTGGAAAGGTAGGACTCAAAGCATAATCCTGAAACAAGTCACACTGTTCCAGTGACCTGGCTGTGTATTTGAAAGCACGAAAAAGGAGGCAGAGCACTGAAATGCAGGTGTCTTGTACTGTTACAAACATAGACTTGATCCCTCCATGGCAAATTTGCCGAGTTGCAGTAGTTTGAGGGGTTTCTCTGGGCTGACGGGTTCACAGGTGCAAGGTGTGAGGCTTCAAGGACAAATTCCCCAACTGTGATAATGTTTTTTGACCCGCAGTAATCCACAAGGAGATGGTGTCCCTTTGCCACTCTTCGTCGTTATTTTTGATGTACAGCATTGGGGTTTTTTAAGCCAGTATTATTATTTATTATTAGTAGTATTATTATTCCATTTCTTATTGCTTGTTTTATTAATGTACAAGACCTACTGCCTAGCAACAAGTGGCTTTAATTTTTTAAAAATATAAATTAAAAAGTCCCCATAAATTAACATGCCATCCCCAAGAAGTGGTGGTACTAAAACCATCACTAACCTGTCTCTAGCTGGTGATTAAAGGAAGGGACAGAATAATAATCTGCCTAAAGCAATGCAGCAGCAATTGTCACATGTATCACATTGAGCCTAGGAGACAGGAAACAACCTATGGGAAGAGGAATCTGTCTTTCTGGCTCAGGAAGAGTGATTTCAAGTCTGTCCAGCCTATCTATGTTAAGAGGATGCTTTCCTTTATTCTGCAGGCTGGTAGGACTACGTAAAGATACTTTGTGTTTGACACTTGGTATAATCTGGATGGTTGTGCCCAATGCTAGAAGTACCTAGACTTCAACCTTCCTGAGCAGAGTGCATGGGCCAGATTTTCCCTCTGGTGTAGAGCAGCTTCATTGAGGCAGGGAACGAATAAAAGCCAGTAACTGGATAGCAACGGTGGTGGAGCCTCAGGGTGCCTTGTGGTCATTTCTATTCCAATTGTACTCACAGTCATTGTGCCAACAACCCACAGAGATGTCCGATTTGTGTTTTTACCTACCTATAACTTTAAGGCTTGATCCAATGTTCACTAAAGCCAGTAGAAATCTTTCTGTTGGTTTCAATGGAGTTTGGCTCTCACAGTGCTTATGCAAATCAGAAATGTTCAATCTACGCTCTGCAGGCCATGTGCAGGTTGTTAGGATAATTTATCTACCTCACGGCCTGCCCCAAACCTCCTTCTTTCCCTGGAAAAATGTTCCCTCCCCGTCAGGTGATCGTGATTTAGAAAGAGGGCAGCCAGGAGCAGGCAGGCTGGATCGCTGCAGAGGAAGATGTGCCTGCCTGGCTTCTCAATTTTTCAGGGCCGTCTGGTTCCTACCTGTGTTCTTCTACAATGTGTGCAAAGACAGTCACGTAAGCATGAGCATATTAAAACCATGCATGTAGCAGCAAGCCCACAGGAGCCCCATGAATAGCCTCTGCTCCATAGAACAAGGTATGTTCCCCTCCCTGCTGGAAGAAATGGGTCCCACATGATCACAGTCATCATATCACGCACCCAGGCCCCAGAGAGCGTGCTGGGTCAGAGGGAAGGAGGTGTGCAGCTTTTGCTGGTCAGTCTGCGGTCAGAGGAAAGGAGGTGTGCAGCTTTTGCTACTCCTGCTGTAACCAACTTTCCATTCTTTCATAATGTAAAATTCTCCCTGGGTTGCAGCCCAAGACTTTCAGGAGGCAAAACCACTTGCTTAATGTCATGAAGAAAGCAAGTTGCACTGCTAAAATGCTGGCAGGCGTTCAAACCCAGCAGAAAGTTTAGAGCTGCATGAAAACGCAACACACAAAAAATCATGTGAGCAGCACTTTTTGTCTGCTGCAAGTAGTCTGTGTGCATTTGGGAAACTTTTTGCTATTATACAACAAAATGTTGTTTAAGAAAAGAAGAAGGAAAGTGAAAGAGCATTTTCTTAAAGGGAGACCACCTGGTATGAACATGGCCATGGTTGTTAGCTTTGGCAGTAATTAAGAGGGGGCAGTTATTCAGCGGTCTCGGCTTGTTGGCAGTCTCTGCTCGGTGCCTATTGCTCTGGTGTTCATAATCACTGACCAAGGACACGCAGTAGGAAAATTAAGGGTTTGAATGGGTTTGGAAAGGACTGACCTGCTTTGCTGTCTCTGGAGTCACTCTTTCTAACAAAGATACACTGAGCCTGCTTAACCCTGCAAAGTACAGTTTACAGATACCTCCAACAAATTAGGGGCATTAGCCTGGTTAAATTAATTAAAGCAATGTTAGCATGCACAGACTGCTTCTGAGGCTTGGCTAGCTAGCTCAAAGCAAGCTCCTCGGTTTTATGCAGCTTAGACATACTTTCGCAGGGCTGCGTGGGCCTTCGTCACTGTCACACACTGAGCACTTCTTCTGTCTTCCAGTGCTAACACTTGCTGTCTTGTGCCAACACTAGCTAGTCCCTCTATAAAAACACTCAGTTGCACATTTTGTAGCTTCTGTAAGCCATGTTCTTGGCTTAGTCTCCAGAGGCTGCAATCATCTTCCCTGTCTCTCTCCTGACGTGTTAACCTCCTGTTGATTTTTACTTCTCCAGTTGCCTGCAATGCCTCCTTCTTGCTCCTTCATGCCAGGGAGTTGATAAGGATTCAGTTTTCTTCCTCCCTATGCTGTTTTCTCCCCCGATTAGGAAACTTGTAAGCTCTCAATTCATACTTTCTTCTGGACTCCCCCATCCCCTCCTCATGCTGCTTTGACTACGTTTGTCTCAGATGGATTTCTCGTGCCTTTTCTTCCCCCATATCAGAGTTCCAGTTTGACCTCGGTTCCCCCTCTTCTCTTCCTGCTCCCTGGCATAGTTTCCTTCATGTGTTTAGGTCAAATGATAGTCAAATCAAGCTTTGAAGTTCTGGCCAGGCTAGCTTTCTCTTTTGAGCAGGGATGTGCGTCCCCCTCTTCTCTTCCTGCTCCCTGGCATAGTTTCCTTCATGTGTTTAGGTCAAATGATAGCCAAATCAAGCTTTGAAGTTCTGGCCAGGCTAGCAAAAGAGAACATTTATTTGGCCATAAATTGCTGAGAGGTTTAGTTTTTTCAAATGAGCTTTCTCTTTTGAGCAGGGATGTGCTGCTAACCAGGGAGACATCAGCCAGTCCCAGGGCATCCATCAAGGTGGACAGCATGAAGAGTAACTGACGCCTGGGCACAGCAGTCACCCAGGTGCTGAATAAGGATGTTCTTGGATGTGCAGCCATAGGTTTTGCACACCCAGTAAATGCTAATTTCTTTCTGTGATTCATCTTTTTTGCCATGGTTGGCAAAAGGACCCTTGATTCTCTCCTCTTGTTTTTCCTTCTCCTGTGGAGCATCTTGGAAACAGGTCCCAAAGTTTTCGTGTTGCTTTAATGGAAACAAGATAACCAGCCCATGTAACGGGCAGTTTCCTGGCAGATTCCCTTTTCTTAAAAGTACTATCTGAGTTTAATGAGTTGAAACTCACAAGTATAATTAGCAAAAGGCTTAAGATACTACTCTCTGAACTTAATTGAATTTAATTTACAGTCTGAACAATTACATTTACATGTTCAAGCAAATGTTTGCCTTTATTTTAAAGTCTTCGTCTCTTCTTATCTTCCAGGCCTTAGTGAGGCAAAAGTTCACTCATTAAGCTTCATGGTACTAGGGCATCTGACTTGTCTTGGCTTGGAAACTGAATTTGTGAAATGTGACCCCTGAACATATCATAAAAGCTCTTCTAATGGAAAAAAATGTTATCAGCTTTTAAAATATATGTGCTTAAGCCTTAAAGGAATGCTGTGTAGTATTAGCACAGCAACCTGCAAGTTCACCAGAAAAAGGAAGGACGGGGGGGGGGGGGGCAGAGGTGTTTGAGTTTTTGTTGGTTTTTTAAAAATTATTTTTATTTATTTATTTCTGGTGAATTTCTAAGCTTATTGCTATGAAAGGCTGTGTTGCTTTAAAGTCTATTTGGTTTACTGTGTCACTATGGGAGTCTACTGAGAGAGTGTATAAATTTTATCTATATAAGACACAGGATGGTTTGTTTTCCTATGGCATCCCCTAACATACAGGTATTGCAGTTAGCCAAGAACATCATGCTTTACAGATCTTAATGTCTTGGGCAGAAATTCTCCTTTGCTAGCCAGAAGTCATGAAACCTAAGGCAGAAATCAGCATGAGGAGACCAGGCACCTGACTGACTGCAGCATTAATCTTCAGAACCCATTAAGGTAAATAAAGGTCCCTTCTGTTCTTTTCTGGACTTGGAGAGAAAATTCAGCAACAGTTGGGGACTTTCTCCAAAGCAACAAGAAGCCAACTATTCATCAGACTATGAAGTGTTGGAAAGGCATAGATGGCAAAATCCTGCAGTAGCAGGTGTAGAGGCTGAAGTTAGACCAAGTAGAGAAAGATGGAAGAGGTGAGAAAACCATCAGCCTGTGAGCAGCAGAACAGCTCCTGGTGCAGGCTGGTGGAGGAGGACACGCTGAACAGATTCTCTGCTGTCCTGTCTGCGCTCCTGTATCAATATTTTTGGAGAAAAATTGCTTCTTGAGAAAACCAATTAGAGAGAATTGAGTGCAAAAGCAATACAGTTATGCAGCTACAGGCTGTGCAAAGGCAACCAGAAGACAAGTTTTACTCTCAGATATTCCAATTTGGTCCTGCTTTGGCAAACAGCAGAAACCTGTGTTCTAAGCCAAACAGTAAAGACCGTATTCTGACTCCAACTTTTTCTCTTGCCAAAGCTGTAAATGGAGTCTTACAGCTTCTTCTTACAGCAAATAGGCTACTGGACCTCACAGCTGGCCTGGCCATATTTCTTGCTGTCTCTGGGTCTTCAGAGCTAGGAAAGAGTCTTTGTCCTCTTCCTGAGTGTCATGGGGAGAAATATCAATTAGCAGCTTCATGATTCCAAATTTGATAGTGGTCAGAAGCCCCAAACAGGAATCATCAAACTGTCACACCAGGCACTCTACAAGGTACTTAGTGTTTGTCTCTGGTAAAATTAGGGCAAGGTAAAAGTGATGTATTATGGTTTGAAGGAATTTCTCTTCATGTTTCCATGCTGCAACACACCTTTAGGTGCTTTCAGACTAGCCAGGCTGGGGGTAGCTGGCACAGTGGCTGCAGCACCAATGGCACAGGGCCGCCTCCCAGTGTGGACTCTGATGAGTAAAAGCACTAGAGATCATTTAAAATTTCATCCAGATATGATTGCAGGACCTGCAGCAACTTTAAAGCGTTGCCTGAGTATATGCCTGGAGCGAGTCCACACTGTATTACATAGTTAAAACTGCGAAATCCAGGCCCAAACGAAAGCTGATTTTGTCTGTGATGGGTGAAGGTGCTGTGATTCCTGCCGGTGTCTATGAGGTTTGGTTTTGTCAGTGGCTGACCAGGCCTGCAAATGTTCATACATTAAGTTGTCTCCTTTGATCATTACACCTGTAGGAAAACTGACTGGGGAGAAGCCCACAGACTCTCACTCCATGGTTCCACACAGCTCATGTTGTAAATACTGTTGTCTTTTATTACACTAGCATCAACATACAAAAGTGCTCATTTTAATTTGACAGCTCTTTCCAAATAAGCGTGCATGGGAAAAGGCCTAGTTCACTGTGTGGGGTCGACTGTGAGATTGGCCTTTTGGGAAACCATTTGGCTTCTGGACTGGCTGTTCTGCAGGTGCTGGGCTTGCGGGGCGGGGGAGCCCTGCTACCCCCCTTTGCAGGCACAGTGTTGCATGGTGCAATTTGCTGTGGGCTTTGTGGAGCCCGCCTTAGGGCTGTAAGGCTCCTACGTGTGCACATGGTGGCCTCCTTCCCCTCCTCTCATTTCAAACCCAGGAACACGTTTGCAAGTTTTTCAAGCTTCCCAGCCCTAGCACGATGGAGGGGAGGCACACTGGCCCAGTGCATTTGCTCACAAACACACGCGGTGCCCTGGGATGCCAGGGAGAGTTACCTGGGTGCAAGGACAGAGCCCTCGCGCCTTCTTTTCTCTCACACCCACACACCTGCTCGTGTGCATAAGGACGAAGCTCTGATCCCATGCCTGTGGCTACCCTGCTTCCTCCTGAATCACACCACCCACAAAGTAAGTCAACTTTAAAACTTGGCATTAAGAAAAACAAAAGTAGATTTTCCTGCTGGTAAATTAATCTGCCAAGGCAAACCCATCCCTTATAACATGAAACTTTAACAAGCTCTTGCATTGAGATGCCCTAATTTGAACAAGGAAAAGTTTGCAGAGAACTGAAACCTGACTTTTCACTCAGAGATAAGGCTATATACCTCTCCGCCTGCAAGCCCACGGGTATTTAAAAAAAAACACAAAAAAACCCCAGCATGTCTTTACATATTTAAATGAATTAAAATGAACCTGCTCTAGATAAAACATTCAATTCAGTTCCTTAACTGAGTTTCTAAAGGGTGAGTTCCACTACAAAAGAAACTTATTAAAGAATAATGAAGACTGTCAAAAATCATACGCTTAAAAGCTAGTAAATAACAAAGTAAGGCTTTTAGTCATCTTGACTGGACAAGGTGAGGTCAGAAAGAAACAGCAACACATCCAGCACCATGGCAATGGGCTTTTTATACTTCTTGTCTTCACCAATTTCTTTTTTAGGAAGAAGTCTTGCTTTTCTTTGGTCATACATTTTCTTCTGTTAATCGCTGTCTTTACCCTGACCCTCTGATACAGAAATTCCCTTTTATGCAATATTTTTATTTGAAGTGGTGTGTTTCCTTTTTCTTTCTTTTTTTTAACTGAAGCTGTTTCCCTCACTTAGAAGCACAGGCAACAGAATGAAAGAATAACATATTCTAAGCCATTGGTGAAATGCTTTTTCAAACAACTATATGTTGGATGGATCCTGGGGCTGTCATTATTTTCTTGACATTCATTTGTACTGAATCAGTTAATAAGTCAGATCCTATGTCATGTTAAACATTTTTTTCCTTGTTTATTTTCCCTGCATTAATAGCCATATTGTAATTGTACACAATGCCCTGAGCAAAATTTAATTCACTGGCACTGATTTACAACTGTAGAACATGTTCTGATGGGGATAACTGTTTAAAAAAAATCACTTTAAAAGTGTATGCAGACATAAAGAACCGACCAGTTGACATGTAGTTTTTGCTGTGTGGGAACGAAGTAGTTGTTAATTATTTTACTTTTGTTGTTATTCATTCCTTAGCATATTCTCTTTTCTTCTTTGTAAGTAGGCAAATGATCAATGGTGATCAGGTGCTGTTTCATCTTAAATACTGTTTGACAGCCTCAGGGTTAACAGAAATCTCACTGCAAAATGTTCATAAACTTACGGTGACAAGAGCAGAGGCTTGGAGTACTCTGCTCATCATGTAAGAATGCACCTGAAATGGAACTCAGAAGCCAGTAGTATCTGAACAATCAACACTGCATATGTTACCTTTTTTTTAAGTAAAGCAAATGGTTCTCCAGTGGGACCTTGCTGGGTAAACAACAGGTCATTAACGAAGACATCGGTGCAATTTCATGGAACATGAACTTCCGCCCCCAAATTCTTAATAATGAAAATCAAAGTATATTTTGTTATTTTTGATGCCCATAGCATCAAAAAAAAAAAAAATGGTCTTCAGTTACAGAGCCAGGATTTGATGGCCAGAGAACGCTGGAGGGAGAATAAGGGAAGGTTTTAATAAGAGGGAATGCTAATTCCTGTCTCTGGGACCAACATGGTGATATTGTTCTGCAGCTTGCAACATCTGTTTCGACTCCTCTCTTTTTCCAACTCTTTTACAGCAGCCAAGTAAATAGTAAAATACTTCTACTCTTACCTTAGTATCCTATGTCTAAACTAGCAAACCGAACATATTGTTCACAATGAGAAGCTATTCTAAAACTAAAAAGTTTTGTTTTAGTCTAATTCTGACACAGCTGAAGATTTTTGGTATAAAGCTCATGCATAACAAAAAAAAAGTATATTTAACATAGGCCATCTGTAATTTCTGTGTCAGTAGTGAGCTACATAATTGTTTTGAAAATATACATCATTCATTATATATGAATACTTATTTAACCAAAAAAAGACATCATATAAATCATTTCAACAAAAGTGACCAACCCAGTTTTGGCCCTAATGAGTGTATGAGGTACTCGTTTCCAAAATGTAAAATAT